AAAAAAAAAAAAAGAACAAACAAAACAAACAAAAAGGGGCGAAACTAAAATCAATCGCCATTTCATAAATACCTGATAGGACCCATGAGGGCCGCGAGCCTCGACGGAGGCGATCACGGTGGCGGCGGCGTTTATCGTCTCCAGCGCGTCGATTCCACTAATTCCTCTGCTCATCGTTAAATCAATCGGAAAAAAGATGAAATTGAACTGAAAAACATATTCATCAAACACACAAAAATAATATTAATAACAATTATATTTAATCACTCTTTGGTGTTTTAGCGAGCTTGAGATTTGTTTTTACAGAGAGCAAAAATGGCGCATAGAGACGGCGAACTTGTGCGATCGGAAAAAAAGCTGTAAATGTGTGTGTGTTTATATGTTCTTAAAAGTCAAACACGGCGATGACTAAAAAGGAAGATTAGATTAGTTTAATTTAATGGTGTGAATTTACTAAAATGGGCTTCGAATATTGTTTTGAACTCAATTTCAATTATAAATCAATTACCCCTCCCTATATGTTAATTCGAAACGTGTTGAGCCTAGGTGGCAGATTCTCATGCTTCGGATACTGACATGGCAAAAATCTATGCTTCGTGATCTTGTTTTTATATTATCTTTGCTCTGGAGTTAGGTTTGGTCTTAGACATAAATAACTTTACACATAATACTAGTAGCATTACAATGTTCAAAGTTGGTTCTCATTATCTCATATCTATCCATCAATCTTTTCAGCATTATGTATTGTTTAGAATTTTAGATTTAGCTATGTTTGTAAAACTAACTAATAAGCTAGCTGATAGCTGATAAGTTAACTTGTAATATGATAGATTTATTTGTTGTATATAGAAGGTTGACTTCACTATAGAGCCAACTGTTGACTTCATAGCAAAACCGTATGACTCATAGCTGAAAAGCTAGCTTATATGATAAAAGTGTTTGATAAAATCAGTTGGAATAAAAAATTTAACTAGCTTATTTGAAAAGCTACCTAAAGAAACTTATCAAATGAGCTCGAGTTTTTTAAAAAAAAACTCGGCCTACCAAACGAGACTTATTTGAATACAAGGAGCTTATAAGCTAACCAAATAAGCAATAAGCTAGTTTATTTGTCCACCAAACATGTCATTAACTTTTTTATGACAAAAATCTATTTTGAAAAAACTCTTAAATTTTTTTATGAAGGGGGAGAACTGGACATTATTTTTTACAAGTAATTTCCTTGTATTTGTACTAGTAACTTATAAACAAAAAAATTATTAATTATTTATTAATACTATTTGTTTACTAAAATATAAATTTAATATATCTATAGATCATTTCACCTCAAAGAATTGCACACCTAATATTATAAACTAACTATCTTTTCAAGTCAATAATATAATTTTATGCAATAACTTGTTCATTTAACTCTGTAGTAAAAATAACCTTGATGAAAAAAAAAAAATATATTATTTAAATTTTCTAATTGTTCATTTTATAATTTTGCTCTACCAATCACTTGCCAAATATAGTTTTCTATTCAAAATAGTATACTTTGGATGAGAGGGGTAAATTAGTAAAATGTAGCCAACATTATTATGTGTAACACAGATCAAATAAACTAATAATGATTTTATTAATCGTGTAAATGTAATTATCAAAGACTTTTTCGAGCCCACGTGTGGGCATCAGCTTTCTGTCTACTTGGTTTTTCGTGCGCGTAGGTTTGCGGGCCCCACCGTGAAAAACGCGCTATAATTTGGTCCTCAGTTTCCTTTTTTTTTTTTTATATAAAAAAATATTTATATTATTTAAATGATACATTAAACGTGAGTTAAGATAAATCACATTTATTGAGCAAAGTTAGTTAAGATTAAAAAAATATATCTAATTGAGCGGTTTTGCTATGAAGTCAACCGTTGCCTCTATAGTGGAGCCAACCTTCTATATACAACAAAATCTACCATATTCTCGAATTACTTAAATAACAGTAATATAATTTTATTAATATGGTAGGTTTATATGTTGTGTATAGAATGTTGGTTCCATTATGCAGCCAATTGTTGCCTTCATACCAAAACCGGTGAGTGAAACTTAAAATCTGTTTTGGATTTATAAATAATACTCCCTCTTATTTTTTTTAAATGTCATTCTAGTTTTTTCAACTATTTGCCAAATAAATGTCGTTTTGGATATTTTGTACATATTTTTCCATTATTACCCTCATTTAGCAAATAAATACATTACGTCTTTTCATATTCACTCTTCACTTTTTTCTCAAAACATTCATCTCTATCTTCATTAAATAAGGTTATTATTGACAAATAAAAATATTCTTAATTAGTGTGCAACTTCTCAAAACGACATATATTAAAAATAAGAGGTAGTATGAGTTAAAATGTAATGTTGATCTGATGTAAAAATATTAAAATAATAAGTAATAGATAAAAATATATAAACGAATAGAGAATTTCGTTAAAACATTTTGTAGTAATGATTTGTTGGTATTTATTTATAAACAGTATTGTTAATATTGAGAAAACTTAAGCTTGATTAAATTTGAATTGAATTTTGAGTTAAAAATTTGTATTTAGATCGTAGTTTTGTAGATCAAGAAAAAATAATTCATAAAAGTCAAAACGAAAAAAAAAAATGTATCCAATTGGAGTAACTCCCCCTAGAGTACCCGAATAGATTGGATCGGTTCAGGGTTTGGTGTAGGAGCTCGGCTAAAATCTTAGCTCGTAAAGGATGGTTACATTAACCTATAGGCCGACTAGATATTATTCGTTTATGTATAATTAGGTACGCAACTGACACGATACTTTCTCTACTGTATAATAGGTACACAACATATACGAAAAATAAAATCATAATTACAATATTTATTCTACTGCAAACCATAGAGATATTATTCTTACTCGAGCATCAAAGTGTTAGAGCATGTTTGTATACACAAATTCTCATTCAAAATTTCATTCAACTCAACTCCAATATCTTCAATATTATCAATATAATTAAATAATATCATCCAATTATTTTTACACATCATATCAATTTTAGTTCACCATTCATCCACTCACATAATTTTAACTAACCATCACTTAATATCATCTTTCTCCACTTTTACATATCAAATCAACTTTACTATTTTATTTTAAATATTATTTTAATATAAATTCAAGATCTCAGTAACAACTAAGTATACACGTCTTTTATTTTCCTAACATGCATTTATTGCAGGACACGTGTCAATACACCATTTATGAATAACTATGGATGACTCCGTAAACCAAGTCATCCGATGACTCCGTAAACCGAGTCATCATCCATAGCAAATCGCCCCCTAAAATATGTTTTTTTTTTGGTTTTTTCTTATAATTTTTTTATGATAGTGTCATATATATTCACACATAATACTACATACTATAATCATGATCTTAATTTACACATTACAATTTTTTTTGTTCTTATTAAAATCAACAACTATTAAATTTAAGTACCTATCATGTTTTGTCATCCTTATGTCACCCTATTATATGTTTAATTCTTTTATATTATTTTATTTTATTTTATGTTATTTACAAATCCTATAATGATAATATGATATACGTGCATATCACGACTCACGAGGGAAGAGACACGACGCATCCTTGTTTTGGCAAGTGCTGACGATACGACGTCGTCCAACTGTCCAATGTGCATTTTTTCAACGTTTCTTAGTATTTTTTTAGTTTTTATTATTATTTCATATTTTTAAGGAAGCCATATTTGATAATTATATAAATTGAAGCAATCTTGCGCTCGTGAAAGATGGACAGTGATGTGCCATTTTCTTTTACTAGTACGCTACCCGCGCGATGCGCGGCCTGATGTTATAAGTGATGTGGGTACATAATAATTCAAATGAATGAAAAGTTATTCAATAAAAAGTATAATAATTTTTTGGTTTATCACATTTTAAAATTTTTATTAAAAAAAATTATAACTCTAGAAATAACAATAATGTGCGACAGTATGTGATTAAAACATAGAATATGTTTTTTTCTTCAAATTTTTAAAATTAAATTCATTAAACTTACAAAAAAGAAACATATATGGGATATTCAATATAATAAAGTATTTGTCATATTAATATCCTGATATTTTTTTATTTATAAAATTGTCTCTTTAATAAAATAGTTTTCATTATCATGAAACAAAATAAAGTCATTGTTAGTATTATACAAATAAATTGCTATGCACATA